CGAGAGGAGAAACGTATCAAGCATGATGTCATGGCCCATACTTATGCATTTGGGAAGGTAAAAGTTGTTCTTTATCTGACTTATTTAACAATAATCATGTAAAATATGTCCAGGACGCATGCTATTACATTATATTATGTTAAGTAACATGATTTTAAGATTATTTGCAACCACAGAAGGCTTTGTTTCTTTCAGATGTGTCCAAAAGCAAAAGGAATAATACATTTGGGTGCAACATCATGCTTCGTTCAAGATAATGCTGATTTAATTGTTCAGCGGCAAGCTACCGATTATATATTGAAGAAGTATGTGTTCCTCGGAATTTTAGTTTAACTTAAAATATTTTGATATCTCGAGTTTTACTTGCTTAAAGTGCCTCGAATATGCCTTATTCATATGCCTGAATTGATGCCCTTTTGATTTTATTCTATCCTTTATTTTGACAAGTTGATTATGTTATACAGACGCGTTATGAAGTGTTTGGTTCACCCTCAAAATTTGTTGAAAATAGTGGAATTTATAGACTTGCGGTATGTCTCAGCAGACTGGATGATTTCGCCGAGAAAACGAAGGATATCGTTACCGTTGGACGGACGCATTACCAAACTGCATCATTAGTTACTGTTGGTAAACGTGCCGCAATGTGGGCTCAGGAATTATTGATGGTTTTTACGAAAGTAAATTAAATAATGCTATTAATTCTATTGTTTCTCTATTATCATTATGTCTCTTAAAACAGTAGGCTTTCTTTGTTCATTATAAGCTAAGGTCGAATAGAAAAACATTCGCCTTGTAACATTTCTAGCTTCTAAACTGACTTTGATAGAAATAATTCAATATTTATATTCCTATAGAAATAATTTAATATTTAATTGATTGAGAATATCTTTCAGGACACACATACACGCATATATTCATATGTAGATCATATATAATAATGATAGGAGTATAGCTATATTTGTGCTTGATTTTTTAAATAATTTATAAATGTCTAGTGTCACTACCCCACATTATCTTTATCGTAAACTACCGTATTTTTTTTTCATATTTTTCCGTAATACTTATTAGTTGTAAATAACTTTAATTTATTTGTGATTAATTACAGCTGGAACATTTCCGAGAAAATATGCGATTTCGAGGAGTAAAAGGTGCAACGGGTACGCAAGATTCATTCATGGCACTATTTCATAACGATGAAGCAAAGGTAACTGTATTTTTAATTACCGGTTTTGAATGGAAGTTTCCAGCTGTTATTCAAGCTTTACTTCTGTAATAAGATCTGCAAATGAGTGTTGTCTATGTGTTAGCGAATGTTGTCTACTAGCTAAATTTGAAAAGACGATATCTTTAATATTGGATGGTTACACCACCATACCAAACAGCATCATTATAACGTTATAAACGTGCCGCTTTAGGCTTAGGAATTACTGGTTTTTGTAAACGTAAATGTCTTCAAGTTTTGAGAAATTGTGTGAAAGAGGAAAATAGTTATTTTTAAACTAGCTTTCGTTCTGTTGTTACTGCTGTCTTATTTCCTCTTGGTTTGTAGAAAATAATTTTTTAGGTAGATAAACTTGACGAATTAATAATGAAAAGTGCTGGTTTTGCTTCTCGCTTCTACATCAGTGGGCAGACATATTCTCGACAGCAGGTACTTTTGTTAAAAATTTTTTTGTCAATTTAATTTGCTTGAAGAATAATATTTGATATTAGATTCGGTAGTATAGTAATTAGAATAATTAAATTAGTTTATGCATTCTCTGTTCTTTTTAATGACTGATGTCTTTAATTAGCAATTCATTTTTTCCTGTAAGGAAGTGTTAAAGTGGGTACATAAACAATAGAATATAAAGTCTCATTGTTTACATCAAATCATTAACAAACATTAATTATAGAACTAATCAGTCATTCTAGGATTGTGACCTTGTCAATATTTTTGCACTTTTGGGTGCTGCAACGAAGAAAATTTGCACAGATATACGAATTTTGCAGGTGTGTTTTCCCTGTTAGTAGATTTTAATCAGTCGTTCTATTTAGGATTTGTTGATCTTTTTGAGATTGAAAATAAGCAGTGTAAAATTTGTTAGTTTAACTGTTGAAATGGTACTATTTTTTAGTTTCATAATTATAAAATTAGAAATGATTTTAGGCTTTTGGTGAACTATTTGAGCCATTTGAAAGTGAGCAGGTTGGCAGTTCAGCAATGCCTTATAAACGTAATCCAATAAAAAGTGAGCGTGTTAGCAGTCTGGCTCGAAAGCTGATGAGTGCACCTCAGGTGTGTAAATTTTATTCGTTCATCTGCCGGTAAGAGGATAAATCAGCATCAGTAAAAGGTTTTCAAACAATGAGTTACGAAATGCCCGTTAGGCGGTTTTGAAATTTTTTTTTTTTTTTGAATTTGAATACACTTAACATTACACTATAATAAAATTTGGTCTTGCAATGACCGGAACTTTCAGTGTGGATCTTTTTAATACAGCACGATAAGTTTGACCGTATAACACTTTAATAATCGTTAGTAATCATAAATCCGAAATTTGTGTCAGTTTCGCTTGGTCATTTTTCTGCTGATTTTATCTAATTTCTTTTTCTGCTATAGGATGCCTTGAATACACTTGGTGATCAAAGTCTTGAAAGAACCCTTGATGACTCCGCTATTCGTCGGATATTAATCCCAGATATGTTTCTACTTGCTGATGCTATTCTCACAATATTTCAAGTAAATAAGCATAATTTCTTATATTTTCAACTTTACTGTTGTTAGGCTTTTTTTTTTTTATTTTTTGAAAAAATTCTCAAAGGAGATAAAAATGAATGCATAAAGTTCTGCGCTGAAAAACTATGGAAGTAAATTACATATAAGTTGAACTTTTCTTTGCAGCACATTGTGGAGGGGTTGACCGTGGATAAAGAAAGAATTGAATACAATGTTCATGCTGATTTGCCATTTTTGGCACTGGAAAAGGCAATGATGTTGCTGACAGAGGAAGGCGCTGATCGACAGGATGCGTATGAGAAAATTCGGGAAGTAACGCTGGCCGCGAAAGAGACACAGAAGCGGGAGCGGGTTGATTTGGAAAGCATACTGGCTAATGTCTTTTTTGATAAGGTATCAAAATATTCTCAAGTTTTTAATATTCAGCAAGTGTCATGATTAACCCAACGTTCGGTGCCAAAGATTGTAAGACGATGTATCTTCTTATGTTTAGTCACTTTCTCTCCCCTGGTCTTATTATAGCACTAATTTGCATTGATTTTGAAACGAAATTTAAAAAAAGGTATCGATAGAAAATTATATTAAGCTGGACAAGGCAAATTTCTTTTTGTTTTAAAACTTCTTTTGCATCTCTAGCAGCATATAAAGTAGATACTAGTGCTTTTTGGACTTTGTCTCCTTTCTGATCTTCTTTTGTTATTGTAATAATCAATATGACAGATTGGTGACAAAGAAAAACTGAATCTGTAGTGGTTATAGTGAATCTTCACTTCAGTACCATTCAAAGACGAAAAGTAGGGAAACTGATGTAGATAAAAACTTCTACTTTCAGGTTCGTGATCGAATACTACAATTGGCAAAATCACCTCTATGCTTCACAGGACGTTCATCTTCTCAAACCATTCATTTTTTGAATGAGGAATTACGTCCGGCTATAGCAAAATATTTGGATGATGATATGAAAACGAAAGTGCAATTGGACGTCTAAAGATTTGCGTTTTACCGTTTACATCACAGTAAAGCTCTATAGTTTACTTATTAATATCAACTTTCCGTATAAGGAAGTTTTCTCATCTTTTGTTTTCCTGATCGTGATTACTTTTTAACAGCACAGGTTATTTTCTCTTCTTAATGTAACTTTACTTTTTGTATTGGTTTCGAATCTATCAGGTATTTCACAACTTTAACCTAACGTGGTATATTTTCAAGTTTTAATTATAACTTCACTCATCTAGAGTCTTTTGCAATTTGTAACCGGTGTTCTGATATGTGACAGGTGTTTTTCAATTATCACAACTTTAAATGTTTTTAATGTTTTTGTGAAACGAGGTATTAATTGAAATTTACTAAACTGTTGCGTATTGTTGGTTCCAAAATTCTGATTTATTCAATTTCTACCATATGAACACAGTTGAGAACAATTATTTCATCTTACTATTGATTTTAGAATAAAAGAAAGAAGAAAAAAGATGAAAAAAAGTGAAATTCGTTACTTCATGCTATCATTTCATTTATGAATTAAGTTTGCTAAGTATTTAAGGGCTTCAAAATATTATCGCTTATCTTTATTTACAAAATTCCCCATCTTCATTTACTTCTATTCAAATTCGATTAAACGCTGCAGTTAAAGCTTCCATTTTTGAAATTAATTACATAAATTGGAGTGAAAGTATGCTTAGTTACTTGTGAGTTCTTCTTGTCCGGATCCGCTCATTATTGTAGTTCGGATATTGGAATGATTTGCAACATTTTTTTAGTTTCTCTTAGCTATCCCTGTCGTTTAATAATGGTAGATTTGCTGTAATTGCTCATTTCCGAAAGGAATAGAATTTTCTTATGTTGTTAAATTGTCTATTCAGGAAAATTTGAAGCTTATAGCGATTCCAGAATTCGTTTCATTCGCTTAGTTGAATTAAATAAACGTAGAAGAAACTGTGTTTCCGCCTGTGCTGTCTATTACACTAATCAAGTTCTTTCGATTTTGATGCACACATACATCTTATGTTTTAATGTCAGCTAAGTTTGAAAAAGCTATACTTCCCGATAGAAATATATTACATGAAAAGGCTAGTAAAAGTCTTCTAGCAATCTTTCTTCTTTGAAGCTTAGTAGCTAGATTTTTTTACACCTAAGTGTTTAATTAATGCTATTATTAATATAGGCCAGTTAATTGAATATTACGTAGGAATACAAATGGTACTGAGAAGTCGACATATACCGCGATTTTCCCTCCTGTCTCCTTTTTCGTAGGTTTCGAAGTGTTTTTCCTTATGTCCGGAAAATGATTAGAATCTCTACCGAAAAAGCTATACTTTCCGATAGAAATATTGTGCAGAAATGGGAAAATGATCCAATAATCGGTGTTGTTAATTACGAAAAGTTCGATGAAGATAGTCTTCGACTTAATAGATCACAGCCACATTTGGTAGCGGTATCAGCTACGATTTTTGTTATTTCTAATTTTCAAGGAATCGATTATTTAGGGATTTCTCTCCCAGTGAAAAATCTACCTATGACAGCTTCATTCGTGTTGAAAAAAGACTTAAATCCGAAGCATTTTTCCGAAGTTTCAGAAGTTAGATCTTCTAGGCTAATAGGCGAGAATGTCGTTTAATTATCATTTCGGTGTTTATCGAATGACTGATTCCAAACCTGTAGGCTGTGGGTAATTTTAATTGTAAGTAGTTTTACTATGCCACTTTCATTATAATCACCGCATCAATAATAATAATAATGCATAAAATTTCAAAATATATCTAAAACATTTGAAATATCAGAAAGCTATTTCGATTCAAGTATTAAACAGTTTCATAACGGACAAGAAAGATATCATACTTTTAACGTAATATATTCATATGCATTTTTAAACGTGAAAGTTTGTTGTGCATTCACATCAAATAAAATCATTCATAGGTTAAAATTTTTCAGCAAAATAAGATTATTCAAAATGATATAATGGTCATAGTAGAATGATGAAATTTGGAAAACATGTAAATATTACTTCATATCATATTTATTGTCCCAACTTCATATCATATTTATTGTCCCACAAACATGCATGACGTTCCAAATTTTCAAGCCGCAGTAGCTTAAACTCCAGGCCGAAACATTCAATTGTCTTAAACTTGGGTAATTAAACCGACGACATTTGTGCGCTCAAATCTAGCCTTCATTTCACAACAATCTCATCTGATTCTAATCCAATGTTTTGCAAATTACGCAAAGACCATTAGTCTTGTGATCGATTGTAGTTTGTATGATGTCGGATTGTCGTCTCATAAAAAAAAGTGTTTATAAAGAACTAGTTCTTTATGAAATATTCATCTGTTTTCAAATGACGTAGAGATGGACTTCACTGAGTAATCTCAAATTAAAAATATATAAGTTGAAAGTATAGCATCTTGTACGACTTATCCGGTAAGTTAAGCAAAGGTAGGTTTTTTTTCGGTACTTTTTCATTCTTTTTTTAAATGGCGTTGGTAGCAAACATATTACTTTGATGTAATACGTTCTGGCTGTTGTATCTTTTGCAACAATTAACCTTTTTTTTTTGAATATAAATAACATATGATGTCGAGAAAACCGTACACAAATGGAAGTAAACTGTTGTTTTAAACCTAAAGGGTCTGTTTCAAATTTGTACTTCATATAAGTAGTAACTCATTTCCCAACTGTAGCTGGAATGTCACACTGTTAAGAAGGAATATGTATATTTTATATGTTTATTTATTTTCTTTGTTCTGAATCAAATCTATATAACTTTTTGTTGAAGCCTAGCTGTCATTACATAAAGAGTAAGAACAGTTCTTCCTCACGTTAACGCGCTCGTGCGATAACAACTCTTAGTTCACATTAATGCGCTTGTTGCAAGTCAATATCTGCTATGTAATGACCTAAACCCCTTATCTGGGTCGGTTTTTTAGTATCAACAATGTTATTCCGCTCATTTGGATCCTGAATTCCCTACCAATTTATCTTCCCCTTTTCAATTCATACTTGTAAACCTTGAAGTACTACAAAATTACCAGTGTATTGTTGATATAGATTAATACTTGTGGCGTTAGCAGATAGAGATGTTACAACACGATTCTTAACAAATTGTTCTCTACTCCAAATTTCAATCAAAAAGAAATTACTTTGACAAATCCATACTAGTTCTCGACAGGCCTGTTTTTGTATTCACTTCTAATCCCTTCGCCTATTTCCTCTTATAACCGTTTTTCAAACCCTATTTTTCAAAAATAGTACTTTTTCATGAATTTAAATTCCTGATCGTTTATTCCGTTATCTTTTACGCCATCTACCAGCTTGTTTTGCGTACTGCAGACGGAATAAATCTCTTCAATTCTAATCATTTTTTAATGAATGTTTTAGCGATATCATATGTTCATAAAAGTGTTTTTGTGTCTGCTTAATTCCATAACAGTGCAGTCTTTCGGCTAAAACTTTAAAAATTTGTATTCCAAGTTTGGGAACCTAGGGTATTTTTCTGATATATGTTAATTAAAAGTACCTAAGTAAACTTGAGCACCACTGTATTTAATCTTGGTTCAGTTCAAATTAAGGTCTTTGAACCTTTTTAAAATTTTTAACTTTCAGGCTGATGTTTTACGTTAGTCGGTAATTAGTAGGTTCTCCAAAGTTCATGGTTTCCCACCAGAACTTCAAAAAACAACTGCAAAACTGATTTCTGTATTTTACTTGTTGACCAATCCCATTTCTGCTGATTTCGTTATTCTTTAATCTATCAAAGAAAAACCTCTTGAAGCATAACTATTATAAACTGTTATTAAAGGTGCATTAATTTCCGGCTAACGGTATCTAAATGACTGAATAAGTTATTTTATAATTTGAGTTATTTTAATTTATATTAGCGTTTTATAACAGAAATTATTTATAAGTTAAACATAAACAAAAAGGGAATTCTTCGATGGATATGGTACAACGGCTAGCTTTCACTCAAATTGATAATCGTTTTGCCTCTTCCTTTTTTCTTCAGTACTTTCTCGTAAGCTATCGGGAGTTCATCATATTCAAAAATTTGATCAATCACTGGTTTCATCTGAAATTTCAAGAACAAATTTTGAAGGAAACAAAACTGAAAGATCAAATATTTTCAAATATGATTAAATTTTCAAAATGAAAACAATGATAAGCTTCTTTTCTATTCGACCATTGTTAACCTTGCCATCCTTTAGAAATTCCGAAATCTGCTGCATACATTCCGGATATGGCGCAAAAAATGCATACGAATACCACTGTCCACGTCGAATTGTTGGCTAAAATGAGGTTTACAAGAAAATTTGAAACAATGAGAAAAGATGGTCCAGGAGAAGATAAAAATATATCTGGGAATCGGAAACATTGGCATGAGATTCCCAAATTTCACATCTTAATATAGAAGTAGGTCCAACTGAAATTCTAATATATAATTTTATCACAAGAAGTATGAACATCATGGCATAAGGACTTGCTAAGCTTACAAATAGGTTATTAACAAGCACATACATGCTTTTGTATGGCAAAAAAAAAAAAAATCATATGAACACAAAGAAACTTTCATTCTATTAAAATAGAAAAGAAAGTGAATAATGTTATAAGCAAGACAAACCAGTGTTACTCTCAGGAAATACTTTACAGCAGCTGAAGCAATTCCAAATGGTATTCCATATCTGAAAAAAACTTGATCAACAAACAAAAAGGAATGAGAAAGAACCAAAAACCAACAGATTACATGCTTTCTTCCATGACAATCTGCGAGATTAAAACGTAAAGGCCTGATGGTTAACATTTTTGTATTTTGGAAAGTCCACGATAAGGCTCCGCTCAATGTTAGTGATATCATTAAGACGGACACTAACCGAATTATTGGGTAATACTTGAAGAAGTCAAAAGATAAGATGAGGAAATAAATTTGGATTCCTATGCCATAGATAAATAAATAAGCTAAAATTCAACTATAGTGCCAACAGAGGCAAAGTGATGTAATTTTTGCTGAAACTACTCCATGTATTTTAAATTGACGTTGCTTTCAGTATAAGCTGTAACAAAATTAAAATAAGTTTTTTTTTTTTTTCATTTAAAATAAACCTTTGTTGAATTTTTGTTTTGTTAATTTGTTAATTATTATACCTATCAGTGTCACTGAGAAGTGGGCTCAAAAGAGAAACATGTACACTATTGCGCCATAATCCCATTACTTTACTGCTCCATCCTGCTAATTCCGATTGAACACAATCCAACACTACATCAAATGGTCCTTCACTGATTAACTTTTCCAAAACCCTTGGACTCTTGTAATCTATCGGTATCGCTCCAAGTTCTTGTATCATATTAAAACTAAAACAACATGGAAATAAAAAAAAATACAAACAATAGCGCAAAGAAAGAACATAAAGAAAGTTCCAAACATAAGTCAGAATTTTGTGAAACTAATTTGCGCAATTTCTTTTTCAGCTTAACGGAACTAATTCTCTAAAACTTTAGAAATTTCAAAATGAATTTGTATGTTGGAATATTTATAAACCATTTCAACTACTAAATTCAACAATTACTACAAAATCTTGCTCTGATTCTTTTTCGAGATGAGCCGGGTTATCAGTAAAGATAAGGCAGTATAAATTTATGATAAAGTTTCAGTAAAAATGATAAGGTTTCATTTTAAACTTAAAATAATCCTTTATTAAAGTTACCCAGCAGATTAAATAGAGTGATTTGAGAGTCGTACACCGGAAAATTTCCTTATGAGAAATCGACATTAGTTGACGAAGTCTTCCTACATGTTGCTTTTCGTTTCATATATTTCTTTGTTTACTAATAAAAAGTTTTTAAAACCTAAAAATTACGATAGTTAACTTACCAGTCATTCGAACATGTTACTACCACCTTGCTAATATTCCACGCTTTAAGCATTTGTACTGCTGTTGTTCCTATACCACCAGCACCACCGTGTATCAATACACGTTGTGATGCAGCATTGTATGGATTAATTCGAGCTACCTAAAATTCATGAAAAAATGATTTCTTCTCAAATTCGGAAGCACTTAAACTTCCTTAAAACATCTCTCTCATTACCGAAACTAGTGCTGACCAAGCGGTACAAGCTGTGTATGGGAATGCGGCACCATCAATATACGATATGTTAGTCGGCTTTAAAACACAATTTGATTCGTTTACCACTACAAATTCTGCATGTGTTCCTGAACTGAATGGATCAACAACAGCAATTACCTAAAACAAAATTGATAACATCAGAAGCAAAATGACTTAGAAGTACAGTTAATCAAAGGCGCATCGGTGTTCAATTTATCTTCTCGTCAAATTACTGCAGCAAAGTGAATTTTTACAAATTCATGACGAAATTGCAAATAAAACTTCAGCATTTATTACAGTTTGATTATTCAAAGAAATTAAAGAGAACTATAAATTAGATGAATTTAGATGATTTCCCTTGTCATCCTTCACTAGAATAATTTTAAAATCTTTAACAAAACTTTGCTTGTACTTCATCATATTTTTTGAATTTCTTCACGTTTCCACCAGTCTGTTCAACAACACCACTACAGTCACGTCCACCAATAAATGGTAATAGTATTGTGGAATCCATTGAACAATTTCGGAGATTTTTTACTGCTGAACACAATTGTCGTCCATATCCTTTTCGCATTACAGTGTCAATTAGATTTACGCTAGCTGCCTATAACAAAAAAAGAAGTGAAATTTTGTACATTACTTTACAGAAATTTTGAGACGAATTTATCGTGTAATCATTAATTGGAAAAAAAGAAATGGATTTATCAAGAATTAAACAAACCTTAACTTTAAGAAGAAGCTCATTTGGTTTCTCAATAGCGGGGATTGACATTTCAACTTTCTCCATATTATCACCGAATTGTTTTGTAACCCACGTTGACATTGTTTTTCTCCTGCCATTGACTTCCCACAGAAAATTTCTATTAGCAATGGCAAATCTTAATAACTGTTTCGTGTTACGCAGGGTCATTGTAAGCATGAAAGAAAATTTTCTTAAACATTTTATTTTCACCTGAAATATTAGATTTGGATAAATGTAGATTGGATAAGTGGCGAGTAATTCGTAGCAATCCCCAAAATTGTTAGGACTCGCCCCTGAGTCTAAAAAAAAGAAAAAAAAAATCGAGAACTGGTAATAAAAGTACTACGGATATTTCTTATTGGTCATGTTGTTTTTAAAGTAAAGTAAAGATGGATTACTAAATTCATGCTCCTCCAATTGAACAAACGAATAATTCAAGTTCATAACTTTTCTCAATTAAGTAGTATGCGCTACAAGCGGTAAAGAAAGTCACTACAAATTACCACAGTAAAACGATAAGTAAATTATGCGACTAAGCTATCGTAATGAAGTAATCCATCACTTATGAGCTACCATAATTAAGTAATAGTTAAGTAATAAGCCTAATTAAAGCAGCATATAGAAATACTGTTCTTAAATTAGTTCAAATTTCAAATTTCTACAATCAAAAATAATGCATTTAAATTCTTTTATTCAAAAAAAAAAAAAAAACAGAATGAACACAAAGAAGAAAGAAATAGCAATTACTGAATCAATTTCAATCCTATTGCTTACTGTGTTACTAATTCAAAATTTAAACTACCCATCGATTTTTAAAACCTGAAACAATTTACTGCTTTGTTCTCTTCCATTTCATTCTGCTACTTTCTGTTCCTACTACTCAAGCAAATAAAACAAAATTAAAATGACTATTACTTATCATGTAATACAGAGATATACAATATCTGATTCAGTCCATAATTGAACAATCAATCCTCTAGCAAGCTTTTGTATCCCAGAATACCCTACTCAAATCCGTTCGGAATATTTTGTCGCAGTTTAGCTAATATCAGATGATGTCCAATGCACACCAAACTCATCTATAGAATTTCCAGTAAATTCGAGACAAAATGTCATTTATTGGTGAAATAAACTATAAATTTCAGCAGTGTTAGCTTATACAATAAATTGTAACTTATAAGAACATTCTACTGACCCTTTTTGGATGGAACTAGAAGATACACGTTATCCAACTAACCAAGATAGGAATTATAAACATTTACTAAAATCAATGTTTTCTGTTTCAAAAATCTTTCGGAATTCATTATTCAGCAAGATATCCAGTGATATATTATCGCGTGTACTTATCCATTTTTGATCAACCAGATCAAACCTAAAAATCCATTCAGCAATATTTAAGAACTGTTCGTAGTCACATGAGCTACTTTGAAATGAGATATTCAGTAACATATCTGTTTTAAGTTTAATATGATAATATTTAATTAATGTACAAAAATACCAAAACATGCCCTCTTTCATTTCCTAACTTTAAGCAAATCCTTGCAATCTCAACTCTCTGAAATCGACCACGTGTGTGTGTGTGTGTGTGTGTGTGTATGTGTGTGTGTGTGTGTGTGTGTGTGTGTGTGTGTGTGTGTGTGTAGAAGAAAGAGAGAAGGAGAGAGAGAAAGAATTCAATATTTTTTTATTTGCATTTATTTGCCTTAATAAAACTTTGACTTATTTCAATATTCTCTTAGTTTTTGGTTCACAAAAATGCAACCTATGTCCCCTTCATTTGCAATTAAAAATCTTTTTAAAAATATACCGTTTTGGACCGGACAAAGGTGAAGATAACCAAATTTGTCGATTTGGTGTTTGTTTGTTGATAACATAAGTACCTGCCTTTCGACTTATTTTAGCCGTAACGACACCCATAGACGAGTTTACATCATAATCTCTGTCACAGCTAAATCTGTCGGGAAAAGAATCCAGATAATCTGCTAATTTGTTCAACGTCTCGTTAGCTAATTTTTCATATTCATCTTCCGATAATTCAGAACTCAGATGTCGTTCTAAAAACAAACAGATGAAAATCAAATGCCGAGGTGAAAGCATAAGTAGTGATATTATTAAAGCTAAAATATTTCCTAAAAGTGAAATACGTGATGATACAACATGATGACAAGTCTTGTAGAAAATTAATCAATTTTAGATTTCAAAAAAAAAAAATTCCTACCTTTAAGAAAAGGTCGCATATTTACCAATGCCGTGAACAATCGTCGTCTCAACATTTCATTTACATTTGAATCTGACAATAAACACTTATAATGAGAACTTCATAAGCTATAGTCAAATTAAAAATTGGTAATTTAGCTCTACACCACAAAAAAGAGAAACTTTTCTTAAAGGAAGTAAGATCCTCTGCATAGGCGGCTTTTTAATCCACTTGCTGATTTACTTTAAAATTGTTCATTAGATACTAAAGCTAAAATTATTCGATGGAAGACTTCCCGATGACAAAAATAAAACAAAAAGTAAAATCAAATGAAAAACACATGAGCACGTGACAGGCGGGATAGCATAAAATCATGCCAAAGAATTCAAGAAATTTTATTTCGATTGATAAAATTGTTTTTTAAATAAATGAATATAAATTGTCAGACATAAACAAATTAAGGCAAGCAAACAAAAATCGCACCCAACACTTCGAATTGGTAAATCCAGCACCAAAAAGCAAAAAAGCTAAATAAAACTTTCATATTACAATTAGACATTCATACTAAATTAAACATTCACACTACACTTTCATACCACAATTCAACAATGAAACAACAAATAAACATTTAAAAGAAAAGATCTAAACACTTCTTGCCGTTTTTTTTTAAAGAATATGATTCTATTCAGTCAATATTCAGACTTAAATTGAGCGATGTTAACTTTGGTCCTAATTGGAAATAAATTTCAATATTTTATCAATATGTGCATTTTTATTTACTGATATTGTACCGAGTGGTCCACATTTTGTAACAATGTCTTCGACAGGAACTGTACGTAACATTGTCATATTAGGTTGGAACTTCACTTGAAAAGGAAGTAAAATCACAAATTTTCGTAATTCTTTAAACAAATCTTCCAACTCCACTTTTTTCCTTACCTCATTTGATTTTCGTTATGTTCCTTATGCTCAATCTTAAAATCCAATTGCAGACATCAGCAAGAACAGCCCAAGCGATTAGAATGCATAATGAAGCTACCGTACGCCTGAAAGAATTACGTCAAATTGTTCAGAGTGAAGTAATTGATTCAGGTCAAGGTACCGATGAAATTATACAGTTACAGGTTAGAAAAATGGAAAATGCTGTTTCATAATGCTACTTTGGAAGTTCCAAAGAATGATTTTTGCAGAAAAAAAAAAAAAAAAAGGAAAAAAAAAGAGAAATGTCAGTAAAGTCATTAAATTTAAAAATGGAATAGAATTACCACAATGTAATCCACCAATTAATGATAGCATCATGCCTATAAAAGAACATACGGACATACTGGAAAAAAAATTATATGTCAGTCATCAAGATTAACTGGATTCATTTGTTAATTAAACTACAGCTTGCAACATTTGAATGAGGAAATAATTATCATTGGAAATAGCGTAAGCAATAATATTTCAGGGTGGTGGTGAATTACATTTTGTAAACACAAAAAATACACGTGCATATTACTTAAATCATGAAGAATCATGGCTATATCTAGAACGTGAAAATGATGGTACATCGGGAACATTATATATCGTACGACGACTTCAGGATGGACGACTCGTCACAAAAAGTATGCAAGACTGAGGATAAAATCGCATGCACTGCTGATAGTAAAAATTGGACTTCCTATTTAGGATATACTGAATTTGAATTAAAACCATTACAAAATTAAAACATTTCAATTTTTAACGAAAATTAACATTCTTAAAATACTCCTAAAAACCACTGTCTTTTAATAACAACGATTGTTTTTAAAAGTACATTTAAATCGGCTATGCATCCGATAGCACCTTTAAGGACCAGAAAAAGAATGATATGTCCGAAAAATCCGACCATCTAAAATGATTCAAAATTAGCATTGCATCAATTATCTCATTCTAAAATATTTCATGATCAGTGAGCATCATGATTTGTTCTGATAATAAGGATTGAACGGAGATCTATCTTTTCCGGTCCACTGGCCAGGATCTTCTACTGGTCGTTCCCAATCAACGAAATGGTTCTCCCCAAATTTAAAGAGTCTTGGAAATTTCGCTCTTTCTTCCGCTGTATATTCATCGGATCGTTTCGCAACACGTTGCACTTGCTCCATCTGCAAACAACAATTAATAGAACGAAAATGAATTCTAAAATAATGAACGAGGGATCCTTCTCATCTTGGTAGCACTTCGGATAATCACTGGATAAAAACAAAATATGTAAGGACTAATGAAGGGAAACAAGGAACCGAAGGTACAAAATTTCGTCAGTTTTAAAATATGCCACACTGAAGGTTATAAAAATGCAAATACAGAAAAAAAAGAAGAAAAAAACATCTACCTGATTCCCGATGTTTTTTCGCACAAAAGTTGGGATCTGATCATCCGCAAACAGATGCAATCTTTCGATTAATCGTTTACGGAGTTGATTATGATCAAGACCTTTATACACCGTCATATGCATTATTCTGCACGGATCGAAATCCTGAATTTGCCAAGCTGGATATTCAACCTTTGATTTCGGCATTTCCTAAAAACATTCAAAAAAATTCGCTGTACGATACTGATGAAAAAATAATTAGAATTTTTTAACAACTAAAAAAGCAAAAAAAAAACTTTGAAGTATTGGTCTCCAACACAGCATCAGTAGCAGCTATTGAAGTATATTTCATGTATTTCTGTTCATATCCATTATGATATCTTTGTAAACAAAAATTACTGATATGTTGTGATTGGATATGAAGTGAAACGAGACGATGAAACTAAGAGATGACTATTACCACAAGAATTTAGGCTAAACTTATAATATGATGTTAATTATAAATGAACTAAGTTAATAGTAACAATGTGTTACTATTAACCACGTAATCAGTTCAAAACGCCATGCACAATAGCAGCTGAAAGTGAAACACACCTTATCAAAGAAAAACCGTTGATTTTTCCAATTGAAACCATGCATTGCAACATTCTTACAATTTATAACCACAACATGATCACCACAATCGGTAAATGGATGGTAAATCGGTTTATGCTTACCAGCTAAAAAATTTGCAACCTTCTTGCCAAGTAACCAAACATCCTGAAATAACAAGATGATTGAGAAAATTAACAACGAAAAGATTAGTAAAAATTAAGAACCAACTTAGAAGGGAAACTGTAAAGTATTACGCATTTAAAAGAAGAGTAGCAAGATAAATGATATATAAAGACGTCACTATTTCAAAACTATCGCGTGTAATCTAAGATCAAAGCAGTTTCATTAGCTGAATTGAAGCAAAGAATAGTAGGAAGAAAGGTGCAAAAAGTGGATAAACAACAACTAGATAAATGTATGAAAAAATAAAGAAACAATGAGTTAGAAAGAGAAGTGAGCAAATAAAAAGTTAATTGTCCATTTATAAAAAATGTGTATAAGCAATAAGTTGAACTAGCCCATCAATCAAATGTTCATTTATCCAAAGTAATAAAAAACGATTAACAATAAGGAATGGAGCTAAAATGATAAAACGAACATTTAATTAAATAAAATAAAAGATCGTAAATTTGAGAGATTAACAGGAGCATATTTTCTGAGAGATAACGGCATCTTTTGTTAAAAAAGATACTAAATCAGTAGGGAACTTTTAAAATCAGTTCTCCTCAGATCCAAAGGAAACAGAAAATTTTTAATTTAATTAATCTAAAGGAACAGAATTTCAATTTAAAGAGGTATGGCTCAATAATTTTAATAATTTTTAATTCGCATCAGATAAAAGTGGAAAAAAACCTGGCCGGTAGCGTCTACAAGATGCCATTGGCGAGCAAACAATAGCCATTGTTGCACTCGACGCATTCGACCAATACCCATCGGGAAATCCTCAAACTTTTTTTGAGCAGGCAGCAACTAATCAATTGCACATTCTACGAAATGAAATTTATATAACTAATAATTTGACAACATTTTGTGTGCAAACAAGCTCAAATATTAAATTTGGAACCTTTTGCCAAATACTTCGGGAAAAAACGAAATCATTTGTTGCTTATTTTGTTGAATTTTTTAATCACTATGAAGTATAAAGCAAATGTAAACAAATACGGTACAAAAATGTAATGATATGACTTGCAAAATTAGAATGTGAAACAAAATACCAGTGCAATGAAAAAAAAAAAAAAAAAACTAAAATAGAACATCGAAGTTGACAAATCCAAACAACTCTTCAGCATCTATCTAAATAACACTAACCTGGAAGATAAGCACGAACTATCCGAAATAACAAAAAGAAAAAAAAAAACGCCTATAAGTTGATAACTCTCTTTTCATTTGCATAAAGTAACCCTACGTACGACCAGGTCTTAATGATATAAGCAATTCCAAAAGAAAAAGATGAACTATTTTGGATTACAGAAAATAGAGATAATTATGCGACAGAACGATCTCAATAAAATATATTTTCAAATTTATAAATTCAATTGCACTATAGAGACAAATTTTTTATATTACAGCTTACATTATTTCAGGGAGATACATACCATACGTAAAAGATTTGAATTTTCAAAAGAGCATTATTTATGAGAAATTATCACTGTCTGCACAGTGAGGTATACAGACACTGTCTTAAATCAAATTTGGTTGATAATGTCTTAAAAAACGAATGTGATGATAGAATATGCCATTAAAAAATAGTAGCTTAAATAATTTTATTGGATTTTCTTCAATACTATTTACAAATTATTTTTGGCTAAGTTTTTATTTCACTGGCAGCCACAAATTTCTATTTAATAGTATTTCGAAAAAGAGATAAACATATATAAAGAATATCACCAAATCACTCGGCCCTGATATTCCGGTAATACGCAAACTTTTTTCAAAGTTTCGTAAACCATCATCGTTGCCGTCGTGTATATACAGCTATTAATCATCCGTGGTAAAAGACCTTTTGTTATTATCCTGTATTTCTCATCGAACCACATGGTTTTAATAGTACCTGCATAGGATGCACGTTGAACCTATAAAAAATAGAATTTAATTATTTGAATTCATGAAACTGAATTTAAAAATCATGTTTGAATATTGCCCGTTGTTAAGAATCACATTGGAAAATATTTCAAAAATCAGACTCGAAATCAATATTTGAAGAAATTCAATATCGTAACAATTAGAAATTTTGAAACAATTTAGAATTGAAGAAAAATGATTCCCAATGCTGTTGAGGTCATGTAATAACCTTTAGATGTGCAATTTAGCACTATCAAAAGAAAAAAAAAAAATTTGATGATCCATCAACCTGTGCACGTAATCGCAATATTTCTAAGGGATTTGTTAGCGCTGTTGCTACTATAGAAGATGTCGCTGCAGCTACTCCTTGGTCCAATAAAAGATAAGGATGTCCGTCTTTGTCATATCCTTAATTTTTTTTTTTTTAATTCTTAATATTTTATATGCTTCTCTTAATGCTAATGACACAATAAAATGTAAATAATGTATGCTCACCAAGTAAACTATGAAGAAATTTCCTCCTACACCATCGAATACTTTCCAGGCATGTATAATATACTGTCCAAAACAATGACCCAGCAGATATTCCCAATGCTGTTGAGGCTATGTAACCTCTAGAAATATCAAAACAAAAACAATAAAAAGTTAAAATGCACAGTTAGAATATAACCCACTAAACCCACCAACACAGTCTTTCCAATTACGAAAAGGAAAACGTTGCCGTTCTTCTTTCGGATTTTGAAGAACAGTAAAAAAAGATCTAAAAAAATGCATCAGCTATTTCATCAAAAAATCAACCGAACTTTCTACGTCACAGAACTGTTTACTATTTTTAGACGTATGAATCAGTCATACGTCGATTAAGTTGTACGCCCAAAAGGTCGTCTGCCAACTTCACAAGAGAAACTGCCAGCATGAACCTTTTGTTTAATTGATAAAGTACTGATGGTTTCAGTTAAGTATGCCTTCTATCATACTAGAACTTTCAAACTTTTAACGTGTTAAAGCATTAAAAGCAGTATAATGCTATTAGCTATTAATTACAATTGCTGAAACAACGTTACAGTTGAGTCAATGTTAGTTAGTTATAGTTATGCTAGTTGTTCTTGAGCTAGTGAGAACTATTATATTTCCTAGACCATTCTTATACTCTTATAATACCTGAAAAAACCACGATAACCATCAACATGATATAAAGCGCTGAGAATTTGAAAAGCAGGTCTCGACGATAATTTAGCCTTATTTCGATGAATGTAGTTCAAGACAGCAGCATGATGAGGTTCACCTGGAACATGTGTATATATAAGTGAAATATATATAAGTGAAATTACTGGACGAAATTGGGGTCACAGGACGTATTTATATTTTCATGCACTGATTATGTATGGATGCAGAATGAAGCCACCTATAAAAGTTGTACATATAAATAGGTTTTTTGAAGTTTTTCTAAAGTTGATATTAAATCTTACCAATAAAAGCAGAAGGGTTGTTGTAAATAATCATATATTGAGAAGTAATATCTGTTGGAACAAATATTATTTGAGTTAAAAGCGATACAGTACCACCTTAAAGTATACTTCGCATATAAAGACATTTTTATGCATGTTAATAACTGCTTTTCGATTTATGTG